GAGCAGGCGGTGCAGTTCAGCTGGGTCTGGCGGCAAAAGTACCGCAGAGAAAAAAACAAATCTTTTTTTCCCCAGTAAGCGTTGTTTTCAGGATTCACAGTTGGGCCGCAGACACGGCAGAGGCACTTTTTTCTTCAAAAATACTCGTCTGTTAACACGTAAATTGTCCCCCTTGGTAAGGCTCAAATAAAGGCCCTTCTCTGAGGCGAGGCGACGCAAAGCCAGCCGGGGTCGTGCGGTGCCCATCGGGGCCTGCGCTGGCTTAAAACAGGCTTTGAAGGTTTTAGTACAATATTTTTTAAAAAAGACCATCTCTTTTACCACGACCTATATATTCTCACTTTTCAGTATCAAAAAGCAGTCCCTTGAAACATAATCCTGACAACATTTTTCAGTGTATGGCTCTTTCCACCAATAAATTAGTTTACTTTTACCTGCGTGTGTATGGAGGAGAAGGGAAAGCACAACTTTCTTCTTTTTTATTCCTTCAGACAGGAGATCTGGACAGATTGACGAGGCTGAGAAATGCTGAATGAAATCAAATGCTGAGAAACACAGCAGTGTTGCTGGCTTGGGTAGACACAACCTATTTTGCTGAAGGCACCCTGGCATCCCTGGTAAGCGTTGTCCCAAACCTGTAAGGCCTCCAGACTCCCAACAGAGTCACTGGCAGAGCAAAGAGAAAGATTAACACCAAAGAAATCTGCACTGATATAAAAAATAAATTTGAGAGTGTTGGCTGTCCCAGCTCCTTCTGCCACGGGTGTATTATGTTTGTCTTGGGCATGAATGTGCGTTTGGGACAAACCGTGTTCATAGCTCTGCTGTTTTTTTCATTGTGTCTCAAGGACACTTAATATAGAAAGCCAGAAATATTTCCAGAACCTTTTTCTCTTGCATATTCTAAGAATAAAATTCTTCTCTTTCAGCATTTCTAATGCAGAGGTAAAATGTGACCAAAAGTAGTGCGATGCTCACTGTGAATAAAAAAAGAAAGGAAGAGAAACTTCAGATCATAAAATTCAGCTCCCAGAACGTAGTTCCCATACTTACTAAAACATAATTACTGTTGATTAGGAAAGAATGGCGTGTACACCCTTGACAAGGCTGGGGCAAGATGCCCAGTGACGGCAGCATTCAAGCTGGGTTTAAGAGAAAGTTCAGGATCCGCTTCTACACCGGCTTCATGTGAACTCCAGCAGCTCACTACCCCACCATCTCACAGCGCGTTTTCTGTCGGAGCTGGTCCTCACCTCACCTCTGTACGTGCCCCAGCGTGCTACCTGACTCTAAAGGCGTGTAACCCCTCAGAGAGGTACCTAAAACACCTCCTGCCTGCCAAACCTCCTGTCTCAGCCTTCCTTTCCCAGGTGCATTCACGTCTTCCTCCTCGTAGCTCCATGTGTGCAGCTATCTGCCTTTGGTGGAGCTTTGACCATTTCAAACATCAGGGGAGAAAGCAAGCTAGTGCTTTTCCAAACTATCCATTCACCTCAGTTGAGTAAACAGGCTGAGGCAGACAGTTTATTCTCCACCTGACAAGCTGGGGAGATGGTTGAAATTATTTTCTTTTGCAGAATGGATCTGCTGGAGAGCCCTCACAGGAAGCTGCCTGAATCAGCTCCCCGGGGCAAGGGGAGCTGTCTCTGCAAAATGCTATTTTTTTTACGTGGCATGGTTTGACACTGAAAATAGACTTGCCAGCTCCAGAGCTTAATCACAGTGCTCCATGCTGAACCTGTTTAGGTCTATGGGTTTGCCGGGTTTTTGTTCCTGTTTCCAAGAAAAAGGCCGTGGGAACATAGTACAGCAAATAGCGTGTTAACATATTTCTCCTCCCACAGAAACACAATTCGCATGTACATCTGTCTCTTTGGACAGTGATAGTTGAGTGTAAACCAGAATCCATCTCCGCTTCCACATCGGAGGAGCTGAATATGATGCACCTCTGCAAAAGCACTCTGTAAGGTTTCCTGAGAGGTAGCAAATCAGTGGAAAAGGTATGTGAAAAGAGAGGATTATCAGCCAACAAATCAGCAGATATCCTTGTGATGGCTAATATAAATAAAGATTGTGAACTAGGATTTAAATAGGTCATTCTCACCTCATTTTTATCTCTATATTCCAAACATGAGATGAAAAATACGTGGCCTGATTGTCAAGCTGTAATAGAGGCATTGCAAACAATTTAATTATTTAGCAAAGGAGGGAGAAAAATGAATTATTAGACTGAAGCACTAATGGAAGTTTTAAGTATTAATAAATAAATATTGAATAAAAAGTCGGTTAGTGTTTGATAAGTAAAAAATCCTACAGAGTAATACAAAGCAAAGTAATTTATTTACTACTCAAGTTACAGTTAAAAGTCTTTCAAGATTGCATGAACAAATTCTGATGTTTCATTTCTGGTTTAGGTTGCAGACTTGAAAGAAATTGCAGCTGTGACAAATTTAAAACGGATATACTGAGTAGGAATGAAGGTAGATGCACACAGCCAAGTGCAATGCTACATTGTTTAAACAAACACCTTGTTTCGGGATATGTGAATTTCTATTAATAATTCTCTGTAGTCTGCTGCTGCTCTTAGGTCTCCCAGCCTGTGGTGTCTGTCCCTCTGCGCTGACATCTGCTGTGCTGCAAGTCAAGCAATAGTTTGCACAGGTGAGAATTTTCCAGGTTTTATTTTGCATCCAGCTTCTTTCAAATGCTCAGGCTGCACATGAATATAATGGGAGGGTCACAAAATATTAGGATCTTCATTCACACCATTGGTGTTCAAATCCAACATCGTCTCTCTGAAACTCCTGGGCAACCATTGCCTATTTCAGAAAATGCCCCACATTCAGAAGTGCGTTCAGGAGCAAAGCTCCCTTGATGTCACAAACGTGAGCAAGAGCGGTAGCTTTCAGGGGAAGCTGTTACAATATGAATGGAATAATAAAATATTCCCTGAGCCAAAGGAAGAGAGAGACTGATTTGGCACCCCACCGAGATGATGCAGCATTGCCAATGTGGTTTCTTCAGACTACCGTAATGACATTGTCTGGCTGCCTCTCAGACCCCCTTTTAACAATTTGTTTAACCCTTTGACCAATTTCAACCAAACTCTGTGGGAAAGCAGAGCTCTTTAAGAAATGAAAGTTACTAGGAGTTTAGTGTGGACAGGGGCAAGGAAGACTGAAATATTTGCCCTTTGTGAGGGAAACGATGCTGTGTGAGCGTGGCAGCTGGGCAGTCAGCACACGCAAACCAGGCAGCTGGGCAGGACAGACGTAGCGTGGAGGCAGAGCAAATACTGCTGATGCCTGGCTTCTGCTCTGGGGATGTGGGGAGAGATGAGCGTAGTGTGCAGGGAAACAGAGTAGGGAAACAGAGAGCATTGCCATTCAGCTGTCCTAAGGAGCACATATGGAGATGAGCTGGAGTTACTGTCGTCAGAGTGGGCATGGGAAAGGGCAACACTCACTAGGAAACCTGGATTCCTTCATTGTGCTGCTCAGCGGATGACTTGCTTAATGCAATAGTTGGATTTTCAGTGCACAGGTAGCGAGCCAGATGTTTTATGGCCATAGTCATTGACTTTACTGGTAGATCTGGAACACACCCTCAGTAGGTTGGAGAGCAGACCCAGCGTTTTGGGCAGCCTCTCATCACATTTGACCTGTCTGGGGTAACAGGTGACAGTAAATTGGAAAAGATGGTAAAAGATGTTTTGAGGCACTTTACCAAGCTGAAGACTGCAGCGGTTTGAGGAAGGACACGAGTACAAAGTGCAAACTTTGGTTCTTTTTGAGGTTGTATTCATTACTGTGCTAGAAGTAAACTTGGCAAGCAAGGATTTGGAGCTCCTGCCTTGCCAGCTGGGAGCCCACACCCAGGGTAAGCACACAGCCCTTCTACAATGGTTTTGTCACAGAAACAAAACCTGGAAAAACAAAGAGTGCTTTGCTTCCCTGGCGGGAAGGCAACCGCTGAGGAACTGCCAATGGGAATCCGGGATGGCTCAAATCTAGATCCCACCATGAGGTACCACAGGGATCCAAAGGTGATGACATCTTGCAACTTACAGCATCAGGACGAAATGCAGACTGGCTGTTTCTCTGGATGCTGGATGAAAGGGTGAAGTCCAGGGAGCATTTAGAGTCTTCTTTGGAAGGGGTAGAAACACAAGATCCCCTGTTTGCCCTTTCTCTGGTGCCTACCCCACACTCAAGGATGTCTTCAGCTCCGGCAGCTGTGCTCGCCTGGGCTGGGTGGAAGGTGTGGGTAGCTGGCTCTCCTGCAGCAGGCTCTGCCAGCCTCCTGATTTCTGGCTCTTGGGGATATGTGCTCACTGTGGGAGGCATGTGCAGAACTGTCAGGAGCAGAAGCAGTGCAGGCAGCCTGAATCACATTCCTCTAACCCTCTTTCTCAGCGGGACGCTTATGCCAGGGCTGTATTTCCCCTTGACTGATTACCTCTGCCATTGTGGGGCTGACATCTTACACAGGAGTCCTGCTTGGTCCCTTATCATGGGAGCATGAGGAATGATGATTCCCCAGCGACACCCATCGATGACAGTGAATAATAGCTGGGAAGGGAGGCAGACGATAGTAGGAACGTGTTCAACAGAGGTGCTGTTATTCTTGGGACACGAGGCTTCTGCAGAGGAGGAGGAGAGCTTGGAGGGTGGATGGGGGGGTCCTGTCATTGCTGATGCTCTCTAGGGCTCAGCAGCTGGAGAGAAACATTGGCTAAGGATGGTCAAAGCTGGGAAGGAAAAAAAGTGAGGAGGGAAAGGGATGAAGTGAAAGGAGCTAAGAGCCACGCTGGAGAGCATACAGACAGCCCGGTGACCTCTGGTGCGCGAGGGATGAAGGAAAGAGCCTGTGATTCACTATGTGGACCATCTGGGTGATCATCTTCTGGATTTCAACCGTCCTGGTAGGTGCTCAGAGCTATTTATTCCCAATTGCATGGAGTCACACGTTGTCTAGGAAAGTGCACCTCTATTCCATGAAGTCATGTTGTCTTTGTTTAAAAAGGTCTGTGTAGAAGCTGGAATTTTTTGTTTTATTTTTGCTTCTGCTGCTTCCTGCACTAATTGGCAGTGGCCAGATTGCTGGATGCCTCAGTTTCCCCACCCATATAAAGACAGCAGTGTTACTAACCTGCTTTGGTAAACATAGCAGTTTCTGTGATGAAGGAGAAAAGATTTTATGCCATTTAGAGAAGCTTTGCTGATTTACACCAGCAAGCAATCCCCTAAGGGGGAATGCCCACCACTACCAAAGCCTCCCTTGACTCTGACTGAAGGAATGCAAAGCTATGTTTGACCCATAAAGTTTGGTTTCTTTCTTTTAGCTTTATCACTTTACTGGGAATTTATGTGGCAGATTGTCACTGCTGAGCTTCAGGCGCTGAGACTGGTCAGGAAGGACAGCTGAACCGGGGCTGTGATCTCCAGGTGTTGCACAGCTTATTCCTATTTCGAAAGCATATAAAACCAAGACTGAAATATGTCCAGCTTGGGTGTGAGAAGTTGGGAAAGGATCAAACTCTTGGCAAATGTAAAAAAATCACCGTTTCATTGCAACTAATGGAAAAATCAATCTATCTGTCCCAGCAGGGGATTTGGTTCAAACTCTGAGAAAGTCCAAGGTCTGCCTAGACATTTTAATTGCAGAGTGAATGCAATCTGCAAACTTTTTTGCCTTTTGATCATCTTCCACAATAAAAATAGTGACTGTGATGGTTTTCTTGTCATTTTGTTTTTGTATTCTTATTACCTAAAGGACTCTGTAAATAGATGTCATTGCTCAGGGTGCCACTGAGAGCTCCTTCCACTTGTTCTCTTTCTAATCGTTCAAAATACCTGTTTTGATTTTGCCAGGCATCTTTTGTTCTCCTTTAAATCCTCTCATTAAACTAAACCCACTTACTTTCAAATTAAATGGCTGTGAATTCTGTAGCTGCAAATACTATTTACATTAAATAGCATTTAGATCCATTCATTTCACAGGTTAAAAACTATAGTTGGCTGTTGCTATCAATATCACAAACTGCAGCTTTCTGCCTGTTCTGGACATCTGGTTATCACAGCTATTTCTGTCTTGGAATGGTTGTGGTACTTTATATTTTCTTTAAACAAAATATGAGGATGTCTTGCCCTCTCATGAAAATCTGACAGCCTGTGAGCTGGGAGCTGTTTCAGTTTAGGAAGAGACGAAGAAACCGCATGTAGAGGAGCCCATATTCTTCCTCAGTTTCAAGGCGTGGGGGCAGGCTGTTTGCTCCCAGTTGTGGACAGTAAACACGAGCGAGACTGAGCGCAGCTGGTAGTGGAGCGGGGTTATCTGGCCGTGACACAGGAAATGGGATTTTGCATCGCCCAGCAAACAGCCGTGCTGGACCTGCGACAGCCCCGCTCATGCCCAGCCTGCCCCGTCGGATGCCAGCATTGGCAAAGAGCGACCGAGGGACAGCGTTTGTGGAAAACAAGGTCTTTAAAACAGCACCTGGAGGCTCTCTGCTTTCTCTGGGTTTAAAATCTGGTTACCCACACGTCTATTACCAGACAGCGGTATCTGATCAGAAGAGTAGGGTGGACATCACTTGGCAGGGTAAAACAGTAATTATAAGGCATTAACTACACCATATTCCTGCTTGAGCAACACATTTTATGTAAGACAATAATGCTCTATCAGATGATCAGGGTGGTCTTCACAGCTGAATGTTCTAAAAGCACGTGGCCTCATTCTAGCCATAAAGAAATAACGTAGTCTTTGAATCTCTTTCTAGAATAAAAGCTTTCTTAGGACCTAGGAACAGTGTCCACAAGATGTATAGCCTTTTTTAAGGTGAACAAGTTTCCTGTTTCTGAGATTGTTACTAACGTGATTGCTAGAATTTTTTTTTTTGCGTATGTTCAATATTGTCTTGAACAACCCGCATGCAAACTAGACCAGTTCTGTTGGCTGCTCAAATGCTCAGCACTAATATTGTTTTTTAATGTATTTTCAAGGGAACTTTTGGACAGAGATACTACAGCAGAAGTATGTTGTAGGTCTTAATTGTCACATTTGTACTTGTGAAGTCTTACAATGTACTAAATTGCTTTACTACTGGTAATCAAATAGGTAACAGCAGAGAGTGATAAATAATGCACATTTTAAAAATCTGTCAATATTTAGAAATTATCAAATTCAGCCTTCAGCTAACAACCAAAACTACTAAATGCAATTACATTTCTTTAGATATGTTACTCCAGTCACACATTTCTATTTTTTCAAAGTTTAAATGGATTTTAAAAATCTATTTTTTTCAAATATTACATGGATAAAAAATGCATTTAAATCCTGGCAGCAGAGATTAGTTTATTTCATATGAATTCTTTGCATGTGTGATTCCAGAAAATTCATTACATTATGCAAACCCAAATAGTTTTTAGTTTATTTATTTCATGCCACACAAAGACAAGGGAGAAAGATTCTGAAGTTAAACACAACAGACCAATTAGATGAGGCATGATCAAACTTTGTTCAGAAATAGAGTACCCAGAATACTTCCAGCCAAAATGAGTAGCAATATAGTTGCTGATGTCTGTTAGGCTAAAATTTAATTGTAGAAAAGTAATAGTACTCATTACAAGGTTTTCAGTGATCATTCTTTCTCCTAAATTTAATCTGAAAGTGATCAGCAATGCTACAAGATTGGTTAGGTTGAGTAGTAATATGATGCTGCTGGGTTAACTTTTCCTGCACGAAGCATGTAAAAAAATTCTGTCATCCAATACTTTTCAAATAATACATCCTGATGACTTGCTTTTAATCTTTTAAGTATGTGTGTGTATATGCATATGCATATATATATAGGTACATATAAGTTCCACAGTGGGAATTTATAAAGATTTTTGGTTTTGTTCATGACAGAGGAATTATCTAATTTGTTACAATGGGAACCCACTTACATTCAGTATTTTTATTGTCAAAAATAATATAAACTGGTAAAATAATAGAAATTATAAAAGTACTTTTTTGCTGCAAGATATAACAACTGGGACCTTGTCCTGCAAATTATTTTTAATACATGCCATTTTAATGGTCGGTAGCTGTTTTGTACATTCATTTTGGTCCAGCTACATATAACATAAACTGCACATTTAATTGCTACATCAGGATTGAGGTAAGACTAACATTTCCACACTGCTTTATGAGAAAGGAGGGTGGGGCAAGGCGGGAAGGTGAGAAAATGGCCTTAGGCCAAAGTACCGTCTAGGTTCTCGCAAAAATCTGGGTGAGATTCTGCTTTCAGGTTGGCTCCTGCAGCTTCCTTATCAGTAGTGGTGAAAAAGGCTTGGGTGGTCTGTGACCAGCGGACATATCTGGATCACTTGTGCCCAGCAAAATGACCTGCCAGGTCTATGGTTTAACACTGCTGGGGGCGAGTAATTAATTCTCTGTTGCTCTAGGAGAGTCCAGCAGTGCTCTGGATGTTTCCGCAGTCTTTTGGAAGAACATCCTGCTCATTTACTTAATTTAGCAGAATAAGACATTCATTTTTCTCAATAACAGTAATGTCAGCAAAAGGGAGAAGGCAGAAACTCAGTCTGTGCTTGCCTGCTGCTACTATAAAAAAGCAGACTTAATTAGGAAAAATTGACTGTATTTCAAGGAAATTGACTGTATTTCAAGGAAATATTGCCCACAATCAGTTGATAGGGTTGCATGGGGAATGTGAGCATAAGAAGGGTAAACCCTGTAGAGGGGATCTAAGTTTTAAGAGGAAAAGTGATTCCACTGCTTTTAAAATTTGCAGATCAGAGCTGTCCCACCTGTCTGTGACCTCCTGAGTGTCCTGAAAAAGGAGGAAGAAAACTGTGCTGAGACTCTCTCCCTGGAGGCAAAGAACAGAACGCCTGAAAACAATCTGCTTCTGAGCTCAGGTAAAGGATGAATGAATGTGCACAATAAAAACTGCTCTCAAGTGAGCTGGGTGGCCTCAAAATAAGATACTCCCATGTTCCTTCCCATAGGACGCATGCACCTTGTATGCATCTCTCATTTAGGAGCAGAAAACCAGGTAAGATCTGTTATAAGGCTCTGAGAGTGGGATTTTGACCTTACTGTGACAGCAGGAGTTGTAGGAGCCTTCTGACTCAGCTGCTCAACTGCAGTCCTCACAACTAGGGAGCACATCAGCAACAAAATCTTTCAAATTGCAGAAGATTTGGAATTATTCATATCTTGGACAAGGATATTTTTATAAAGTCAGCCCAGTAAGTGCAAATTTACTTAACTATATTTGCCTTCAAAATCAGTGAATACCAGCAGCCAACATTTAAATCACATGACCTGAAGGTCCTCATTGCTTCCTCCTTGCACTTACTGTCACATAACAGAACTCTTGCATTTCAGAGAGGATGTATCATCATATAAAGAAGTCTTTTGGCCTGGGAAGGTCTTGTGGTACTGAGTCCTCATCTTGTAGACTTTTCTTTCACAGCTGAGCAAGTGCATTCGTGTGCAAGGGGTCTCAGAGAGATAACTGCAAGCAATTATTGAAGCTTGCCTATGAACTGAATGTTAGCTCTCCACGGCAGCAGCTGGGTCAGCATCCCACAGAGTACATTGGATGGAGGCAACAGATGTGACTATTTTTTGTGTGTGACCAGCCATCGTCACTAAGGATGGGCTTGTGTCATTCACAGCATCTCTCAGACATGAACTGTTTCTGGGTGACTTTTGTGGACCATGACACGGCAAGGTCCTCACCAGTGAGGAAAATGAAGAGCTCCCGTGAGATGTGCTGTGTGCAGGGTGTCCTGGCCAGAGATAAGCTACCATGTGGAGCAAGAGTTGAGGCTTTTTCTTAGTTTCAAAGCCTTCCTCTCTAGCAGAGAGTGTTGGAGACACAGATCTGTTTCACTATGACCTGGCCCAAAGCAGGACTCGGAGGGAAGATCTATTTCTTAGGATGCTTAGCATTTTTCTCCGTCTTTGTTTTATAACTCTGAGCCTTGCAGACTGATGGATATGAGGAGAGCTTCAGGCCATTAGACCCATGTAGCAGTGACAGGGTACCTCACGGCAGGTTGCCAAATACTCCAGAATACAGATCTATCTCATTACATATAAGAAGTTGGATGATACGAATAAATCAGTATTATTTGTTCCCTTCCCTGCTGCCATTCACTGAAGAGGAGGGGGTTTTGACAACCTATCTATTTTTCTGCTTTGATCCCATGACATGGCTCTAATGTTGAGCTCTCCATTTCCTCTGCACCAGAGCTCCGAAGATGCAAACAAGTTAAACTTCACAGGACCATGCAGGTGTGGACCAGCACTAGCATTAGCAAGCAGTACCGTTGTACAGATGGTCCCATTTTATCTCAGTCAAATAGTAGCTCCTCAGCAGAGACATAATCCATTTTTAAGCTGGATCCAAATCTTAAAAATTCCCCCAAGGCCTTTTGTTACTGGAAATTTTTAAACAGGATAATTCTACTCTCTGTGCCCCTCTCACCAAATCTACAGAGACATAAGTTAAAAGTATAGGATTGTGTTAAATCTTTGAGAAAGCATTTCCAATGGCTGCCAAAATTACTCTTTTAACGTCACAAGTCAGGTCAAACAAAGCATACTGCTGTGGGCTCAGGGCTAATCATGTAGCAGAAAGCTTTAAGATGAAAGTGGCCAGAGTGACTAAGCCCCTCTCTGTCTCTGTAACTCTGCAAACACACCTCCTGGCAGTGAAACACCAGAAAAATAAACAGGGGTGAGATGCACATCTTTCCCCAAGTAATGGTTCCTGGAGAGAGAGCCTAGGAATTTCCTTCTGCTGGTATTTACTCAAGGAGGGTTTGTTACCTTGGTAAATGATGGAGTAATGCTTTTATTCTGGGAAATAATGCATCGGAAAATACCTCCAGCCTTTGATTATCTGCATGTCTGAGGTCCATGTGCAGGAAATCCCATACAGGAACTTCAGTTTGAAGAAGAGAGAAACAAAGCTCTGGGGATTCAGTGCATGTCCTTGGTGGGTCACGCAGGGAGAGAGAAAGGCGGCTTTGCAGGGTGTAGATCGCCTTCCATACCCCATCCTTCCTGCACTTACCCCAGAAGCTTTGACTGGTGCAGGCAGGAAGAATGGCAAAGCAGAGGACAAGCTTCCACAGTGCTGTCTCTGCTGCAGTGCTCACATCTCTGAAAATGGCACAAACACACAGGATTAGTTGCGGGTGAATCAGGCACAAAGTACCTGAGCAGTGTTTCTTATCTTCCTGCAGTATAAGGAAAAAGGGAGTCTGCCCTTGTGATACCGTTAGCTTGGAGGAGGGAGAAGTGTTACATTAATGTAACCCAAGTCATAGTTATGCTGTTCTTTGTGCATGAGTGAAGATGGGATAATTCTCTCAGGTGCAGGGAGCAGGGGAGGCAAGCTGCTGGAGGTCTGGGACCTCTGGTTGTGGTGACACTGTGCATTGCTGCTAGGGGAATGCTCTATTTGCTACTTGAGGGAGGTCCCAAAGAGCACAGGGGCATCAGGGAGGTGCTGCTGTGCTTTGCCTCCACCCAGGAGGCTCTTTAGCTAGGTAGGGGTGGGCGGCACCGCCTTTGCTACGCGAGGAATGGCAAGAAGCCCAACCACAGGAGGAGTAGCTCCACTGGTTCTTGTTTTCTCCTCCTGGGAAGACACCACCCCGACATCACAATTTTGCCAGGTTTTTCTGTGCACGGAGCCTGATTTGGGGGCTTTATGCCAGTGGTGTTGGTATGAAGGTTCGATAACCCAAAAAATGCAGCATGGCTAGGCATAAATATCACCCAAGGTGATGCTACATTTGCCATTAAACTCTTGCTTTGAAGTAAATGGTTACCAAGTCCTAGAAACATTGGCACAGTGAGGACACCAGAGCTGAGGTGCCCTGGCTGTGAAAAGCTCTGTATTTCCAGGCACTAGGACTGTTGTGCAGGAGGAAATGAGCACATTTTTAGAAAGGTAAATATTTCTGTCAGGCTAATGGAGGCTGGCCTTATAAAGCATGAAGCATTTGAAGAGAGCAATCAGCACTTCCTCCTCTCTGCTCTCCGTGAGCATGCAGAGCATTTGGCACACGCCAGGACCCTCCAGGCATGCTCCAGTGGCCTCTTTTGTCACTGTCATGTTACAAAACCCACAGAGGAGGCTTTGCTAAAACCAATGACAGTGAGCGGAGGCAAAAGGGAACCAGCCGGAATGATTTCAGCCTATGTCTGAAGAAGAGCAAAATAAGAAAGACCAGGATTGCAGTTTCTCTGTAGCACAAGGGGCATCAACTGTAGGTCTTCTCTATTAACACTCTGCACCACAGGCCAAAATTCATCCATGCCAGCTTCTAGCACCTAAGCAAGATGTCTAAGTCGAGATCACCATCATGCTGTGCTCCATTGACCATCAGCTCCCTGATGCATCTCTGCCAGCCCTGGCAGAAGGCAACACATCCAAGCTGAGGTCACAGCTGGAAAAGCCTCCCTCACACCCTGACTGTAGAAGCGGAGCATGACAAGCCCAGCTTTGAAATAAGCAGCCCCTGCACCAAAGTGAGGGAAATGGGGTGAATCTGGGTAGTGTTGGTCAGTCCCTGCAGATGATGGAGGCCTCAGGTGCAGAATGTGCGGAGAGGGCACGGGCTTATGCCTGCAGAGAGCCCAGCAGCGCTCCAGGTTCAATGGCTGCTCTGAGATGGGTCCTCCAACAGGCAGGTCACACAGTCAGAGACCTGGCCTCGGAAAGAACAACAGTGCAGGCAGATTGTGCCAGCATATTGGTAAATGTGATGATCTTCCCTTTACAGTCCTATGTACTGGCAGAGCTTGGCAAAGTTTTGCTCTCCTGCAGCAGAAAAGCCACTGAGACCCGCAGCCAAGCCCAGCAAGTGGTCCATTGGCGTTATTCACTCCAGCACAGTCTTGGCATAATAAAGGAGATGAAGAAGCAGAGGAGTATTTATGGTGGTACAAGGATGACACTGATGCTGTTCCTCTCTGCCCTTTCCCCAGTATTGTTCTGAAGCTGCATAAACTCCTAGGCAAGTTTTATCTTCTTCTGTTTACAAAAGGATTATGTAAGGAAAGCATGAGGGTGACTCAAAGTGGAAGCTTTAGAAAGACTGAAAAGTGAGCTAAAAAAATCATATCTGATTTCCTTCATCTTTCCAGGGCCATTCAATAGCCACCATAAGACAGATGGGTACCCAAAGGCCTGATGCAAAGTTCACAATGGCCGAAGTTGCTCTTTGTCTAGCTAGTAGAGACCTGTGGAGTCAAGGACCAGAACAGGATGGGCCTGGAGCTTGCTGGTGCAGGTCTGAAGCAAGCAGGACCTGTTCTGTCCTATCCAGGTCTCGACAGGTCTCAACAGGACTTGCTCTGTCTCATCCAGGTTGCTTTTCAGAGTACCGAGCATCTTTGTTCCTGTAGCTGCCTTGGTCCTTGGGAGACATTGCATGGTGTTTCGTTGCTTGGAGATGTTTCATAATGTTTCGTTGCTGGGAGAAGTTTCATGGTGTTTCACCACTGGGAGATGCTGCATGGTGCTTTTTATTGCCCCCCCAGGCAGATGTGCTGGAATGTGGGATAACATGAGCTGCTGGCCTTCGTCTGCTGTGGGACAGACTGTCAACGCTCACTGCCCTGAATTCTTCCAGATGCTGACTGGAAAAAAAGGTAACACTAAAAATATGCTTTTATTGCCCAGGTTTTTTCTATTGTTATTTTTAAATGTGTTATTTACAAAGATGCCACTGTCAGGTCTGAACTTGAAGTGAAATTGTGTCCCTGCTTCTTTTAAAGACTGATGGTCACTTAGCAGCTCTGTTTCCAACACTAAGCTAAACGTGGGAAAGCCTGGAATTAAAGTAGCAAGATGTTTTAAGTGTTTATTTTTCTTAGCCAGGTGGAGAAAAGTGTAGGAAGTAAATACTATCCTGAAAAGCATTTTTTTTTGTGCGGTTTCTTAAAGGAAACAGTTTTCTCCACTCAGGCCCTGTGTTTATGTATTTCTGTCCATCTTTCCCCTTCTAATAACTCTTAGAGCCAGTGGCTGATCTCAGCTGAGCTTGACGAGGACAAATCTTCATACAGTGTTACGTTCATACAAGTTTTGACAAAACAGCCAGCCAGGTAGGGGGAAAAGATCCTTTTTTTGCCTCCATCAAGAGGAAATCTGCACTGGGGGTTCATCCTTTGGCTGTGACAGGCTCCACACAAGTGGCACAAATTCATGGGAGCTCAGGTTTCATGGCTCACTAAACAACTTACTCAAAAAGAGGTGAACTTGAGCAATGTTTGTTGTCCTTTCTCTGGGATTTCTAAGCTAGAAATTAAGTGAAATTTATTCCCGGTATACTACAGTAATCATGAGACATTAAGTAGGAGTTTCTGCCTGCTTTCTGTTCAGTTCTACTTTTCAGCAATGCCCAAGAAATATGCTTACATTTCTCTTTAGTGAGTTAATGATTCAAATTGGAAGAGGGTTTTGCATTCTTTGGTTACAGGACACGGATTAATGAGGTCCAGTACTTACAGAAAAGGAGACAGATTCGTTTTATGGGGGGAGGAATGGGAGACAAAGTATTAGATTGTCTAATAAAGATTAGATAATTCAGAGGAGAAGCACTTAGTGCTCTTTAAATAAAATAAGACATGAGCCATTCAGATTAAAATAAATACCGTGCTGCTTTCTGTACACACAAACAGTAGCTGCCTATTTAATCCTATCATCTGGTTTAAAGACAGAGGATAAACCACACAAAGACACAGATCGTTGAGGAAATCATCCACCCGGCATGCACTCACAAATCTTTAGCATAGTGATACCGGCCCTTAAATGTATTAACTGAAATCCCTGCCGGTACAGCCACTAGAGGGAACTGCTCCCTGCCTCCGGCCCTCGCACTGGGGAGCAAAACAGGAATTTGTACATCCAAAGGTCATAATTACATCTCAAATGTGCATTGCATTATCTTGGACATAGTCTAACAGCTTTAAACTTTAGTTGCCCTCCTTATCGAGAAGCTGAGATCTGAACTACTTCTGATAAGCAATAATCAGAGTGACCATGTTCAAAACAGAAACCCAAGACACGGTCCATTGGCATTTGCATCTTATTTCGGTCTCTGCATCTGGGATTTTGGGTCAAGTCAGCAATAGTTTCTTCTCATTCTCATAGCCACATTATTCTCTGATTTTATACTGTGGTTGGCTCGTGACTCATGCGTTTAATTACTCCTACAGTCGTTGCCCTGTTTGAAGCAATTTTGCAAAAGAAAAACAAAGATCTGTTTGCTTGGAAAAAAAAGCAAAAGTTTTCTCTCCTCACCACTTACAAAGCAGATGGGCAGCCACAAATGCCAAAGACCCATACGTTAAGGGATGCAGATAGCTCTGAGCTCTGACCAAACCCTGGTCTCCATGCTGTTGAGCTTTGTGCTGACATCTTGACTTGCATTTGCAGCCCAGACTGTCTGGTCCCTTCCCAGAAAACAGACCAAAGAAACAAAACAATCTGGACCCAAGTAACATAACTGAAGTTCACATCCAGACCTGCATATTGTGTCTCAGGCAAGAAATGAGGAAAGGCGTGAGGACTGTGGTGATTCAGAGGCAGACGAGAAGGTCACATCAAATGGCCCCAGTTCCACCGCCATCCCTTTAGTCAGTGTTCCCCCTTGCCTAGGCAACTCCAAAGGCCTCCAAGGCACCAGTAAACACCAAGCACTGATTGTTATACAGACTGCAGACCGCAAGTCCGCTCCGAGCACGGCAGGCTGCAGTTTCCCCAGTGTGTGTGTCACCTATAAGCAAGTAGCATTGTTAAAATCATGCTCATGTCCATCAATATAATATGCCCTGCGTAATCTCCCATGCTTTGCATATAATGCAATCACATGCACACACCAACACAGAACGTCACCTCTTCTTGTCTGATCTACTTTGACATCGTCAGGCAAAAACCAGTTACAGGCATGTTTACGAGCAGAACACTCTGCTCTGAGTTAAGTATGAGTGTCTTAATAACTGAAGCTGAAGTAGAGAATTTGCCACCATACCACTCCCTTGCTGGGTGCAGGCTGGGGAGAACTGTTTGGGAGAGCTGTTTCTCTCCTGTTGTTATTGCACTGCAGCAGTGTATAGAAAACCTGTAAAAAGCAAGCCTGGACCTTCCAAAGATGCTAAGCTGGAACAAGATGTTCATGAAAGCATCAGAATAGTCTGATACTGACACACCCAGAGCTCTTCCCACTTGGAGATCTCAGCACATTTGCTGTGCCTTGCAGTTTTACAGAGGTGAGTTCAAATCAAGCGCAGACATGCTGTCAGGTCACCAGAATTAGCCCAGAGGTAGCAGGAGCCCTGCCTCTGTCCTGACGGTCCCAGCAGGGCTCCAAAGAGCACAAACCAGTGCCAAACACTGCTGTATATGCATCTCCCTCCGTTCTCTCAACACAGTGGGGATGTTTTGCAGGAACTCAGTGCCCTGGAGTCCCTATGGCTAAATATGTGGGCAAAAATAGACTTTTATGGTGCCTTCTGTCAAGGCTTCTACTAAGAAGGGCTGCTGATTTCAGGCACTCTCCAAGTCCTTGCTAATATCACCATTACTTCAGCAAAGCCAGGATTTCACTCCATGTTTCTGAAGTGCGGCTCCTACCTGACATATTAATGTGATTAGGACAGCGGGCAGTGGTTTTGCTTCTTTGTAAATGTTTCTCTTCTCTTCAGCACATAACCTACATAACCTGCTAGGGTCATTTTCTTCCAATGAGATTGTAAGGTGTGTAGGGCAGGACTTCCCACTTCCACTTCAGTGCTGAACATGAATATGGACATGTTCAAACCTGTCCTATTCAATGATGTGCAACTTGCTGGGGATCCATCTCACTCAGTTTTAGCAGTCTAAAAGTCAGGCAGCCCAGCAGAAGTGGGTCAGACGAACTGCCCTCTGTGGATTTCTTTCTGAAAATGAGATAAATTCTGCAAATGTCTCTTTTCTTCCACTGAGTAGAAAGACAGCCATCAGAGACACAGTCAAGCATTTAGCTTTCAGAAGGCTAACTTAAGTGGGGGGAATCCCATCCTAGCCTTTAGTTTGCAAGTAAGTAAGGAAATCAGCAGTGTAAGATAATGCCCAGACCTGGCTGTGGGGACAAGCCTTTTAGTTTTCATTTAAATCTCACCAAAAATCTGTGACCATCTAAAGTTTTGTGTTCTCTCCAGACCATGACAAACCACAGTAAGGAGGTGGGAGCATCCAGGAAAGTATCAGGTTTACATGGAGTATGATTCTGTGATTGAAGAAGTCATGTGTTTGCTGATCTTGGAATACTGGCCAAGAAACACCAGATGTACCGAACAGTATTGTTTATGTTGCAGTTAATAAAAACACATCCATCACAGTCATCCCTGAGTGGGTAAACAATATTATGACCCACACAAGTATACTGGGCAAGTATCAACATAATTAGCTCAGCTGTATTTCACCTCCAGCTATGCAGAGTGCACTACCTGGGGGAAAATATTCTCTTTGCTCTTGGAGCAACCCTACACATTGGTGACTGACTGCTGAGGAGAACAAAGATACAACTGGAAATGATCACACCTGGTTTTGTCTTTTTTTTGTTATTACCACACAGGTTTTGTCTACCGAAACTGTACGAGTGAGGGTTGGTCAGACCCATATCCGAGACCCGATATTGCTTGTGGCTACAACATCAATGACACGACAAATGAGGCGAGAGTGAGTTTGAGTGCCTGTGACCACAGATCTGCTGCTTTGGGGCCCTGGGGGAGGAACATGTTAAGGAGAGACCGAATGATGTTGTGATATAACTCAGTTGGGGTTATTGTTACAGGTGGTTTTCAGCATAAATGCTTCCTCCAAATGATCAGAATGGGTCACTCAGGGTAAAACTTCAGTAGCTGATTTTACAAGAAAATTTATTTGTTAAATAGGAGGAGACACCTTTCTCTTGGTATGGGCTGATTTCTACCAGACAGTCAAAGGTAAATATGTGAATATATGTTCCCCTGCAGCGTTCCTATTTCATGACTCTGAAGACCATGTACACCATCGGATACTGCACCTCCCTCGTGACGCTGACGATAGCCTTAGCAGTCCTGGTCTCTTTTAGGTGAGGAGAAGCATCTCCGGTTTGCATTTGGCTAGGACTTCTGGTCACCTCAGCTGACACAGATCCTTCTGTTGGCTTTCAGGGCAAGTTAAAATGGAAGTATTTCTGAAAACCTTCACAGACATCAGTGACAAAAATGGTCTCTGAGTCTTGTCTCCCAGAAAATGTCAGGGCTGCTCTTCATAGTGTGCTCTCCTGTCCTTTCCAAAGTGTAGGTGGACGTATTTTGCAGACTGGCATTTGCACAACCTCCCTGCTGAGGTCTTCCCATGACTTCAGTGTCCCTTGGGCAGAGTGTCTTTCCACCTGCTGTTCTTTTCCCCACTTGAGACTGTGGCTAAAACTTTGCTCTAAGTGCTGCTGCACTGACTTCTGGGAAGGTGTTTCAGGTTTACAGCAGTGATCTGACAGTCAGCTTATCTGCATGCATCCTTATAACCTGGAATTTGTACTTTGCTGCTTATTCAGTGAAATTAATTTCCCTTACAGTAAGTGTCAGGGCAGCACCTCTGGGCAGAAAGAACCCCAACTACTGTGCAAACTTGTCCTCAGGCTGCACAGCTTCCAGACACAGATTATGTGGCGATTTAATACAAAAAATATTGCAGGCACAAGTGCACTGTGCAGACGAACCAAATAAATCCACCCAGGTGTGAATAAACACCTTGGGTTCATGTTACTCCAGAAAGGAGGGAGGGAGGCTAGACCAAGCATATTGGCGTGAAATTGCAATTCTTCTGGCAACGTTCCGCTTGTTTTAGTACCTGAGTGGAGCAGTTGTGACTTTAGCTTTTTAAGGTCCTCTCTAGGATATCTCTCTTGGGAAATGCATTAGTCTTCCTTTCACAGACAGAAAAACAGCGTTCCTAATTTGTCAGTTTAGCATTAATAAGGATTGAAACCTGCTGTTTACAGCCACAAGCTACCTGCGCTGGCTAGGAATGTAGCTTCACAGGATCTCTCTCTCTCTTTTTGTAACAGAAGACTTCGCTGTACAAGGAACTACATCCACATGCATCTCTTCACATCATTCATTTTGCGAGCCTCATCCAGCTTCATCAAGGATGCTGTTTTGTTTTCCTCTGAAGACATGAATTACTGTGGGGCATACACGGTAACCCTCTGCCTTCCAGCTTGCTCCACACCTCAGTTTCCCAGCAGGATCCCAGCAGTAGTTAGCGTGCAGGGAAGAAAATCTCTGTCTCGGCTTTCTGTTCAGCATAAGGGGTTATAGGAGAGGAAGGGTATGCCCTGTCCCTTCTCCATCGCTCAGTCCTGCATGTTGGTTGTTCCTGGCTGAGATTTCCCTGTCTGGGGGGATTCTGCATGTGACAGTAGCATGAGGACACAAAAGCAGCCCAGGCTGGAGCATACACACAGAAACCCAGATGCAGTTCCTCCCAGCTATAGATGCTCTTACAAGTACTGGAGCAGAGGGCATCCAGGTCAGTCTGAAGTAGGTACCTGCATTCATCATCTTGATTGCGTTGACTGGATAGCCACAGAAGACACCAGAAGTTCAGCACATTGACCCAGAAATGCCTAAGCATGGGTGTCTCAGGCTGTGAACACAGGATACATCACCAGGGTGGAGATTCTTACCTGGATTTTAGATCCTGGTAAATGGGGCTGGCAGGAGAAGTACAAGAACACATTAAATATTGCTGACATACTACAGCGTGAGACCTCATAGTAAGATATGAGCTTGCACCCAGAGAGCCCAAAACATGAACCTCCCAACTCTTGAATTGTTTCTTCCTTTTTCTTTTTACTGGCAGCAAACTATCTTGAAAACT